CCAAAGAATTTCAACAATTTAATTACCTACACTTTTCCACAGAGTGCTCCATCTAAAATATTGCAAATGTCCTTCGAAAAACTTTCGGCCCAGAAAATATCCGACAGTCCATTTCCGTCAGATATTTGTCGGAAATGACTTTTGCCAATGAATTTCCAACAGAAACCGCCATTGGTAAAAAAAGTCATGTTTTTATTATCACATCTTTTAGTTTAATCGTAATTTGGAAAATAACAAACGATTAAACAATCACATAAATATAGCCACATTTTATATATACTAGAAATTTGTAACCACAAACGTCATGGATATATACATATATATAATTTGAAAAATAACAAACGATTAAACAATCGCATAAATATGGCCACATTTTATATATAATAGATATTTGTAACCACAAACGCATGGATATATATATCTATATATACACACAGACTACCTTATAAACCAGATTTATCAAAATTCTTAAAATCAAATTTTAATGCACAAAGTACTATACATTTATGCACCAAGTGTTAAAAGTTTTAAAAACAACTTATAATGCATCAAGTACAAGTTACCAATGCACATTATGATTTTTTCTTTTTATGTACCTAAGATAATTTTTGACATCTTTCACTCATGCCTTCGCATTCTCTTACTTCTATATCTTCTTCTCATCCCCCAAGGTGAAATTCAAACTGATATTCACCATAAGTTGTTAAAAGTTCTCTCATTCATCTCTCATTCAATTGCTCTAGAACTTTCGGTCTCGTTCTCGATCTCTTGATTCTTTGCTCTTGATGTAAATCGAACACATTTGTGAAGTCGTTTAAATATGTTGGATTTTAAATATATTGAATTTTAAACTGTCATACAATTTTTTTCATTGATTGACTGTAATTGGAACCATAACTCTTATTTATTCAAATTGTATTAATATGTAAAGACCAAATGTAACTTATATCATCGTTAAATCTTCTCTAATAAAACTAGTGAAAGTTCAAAATCGTTAAAATTCACGGCTCCCGCCATATTGCACGGGTACACAACTAATATATATATATATATATATATATATATATATATATATAAACTTTTGTGGATCGAAAACTTAAATTTCATTAAACGAGCTTGGTCCTTTAAATAGGAGTAACAATCCTAAATCAAATAAGGAAAACTCTCAAAGATGGAAACATAAAAAATAGAAGAAATAAAAGGTAAATAAGATAAGGATAATGAAAGAATATCAACAAAATCCTTTACTCCCCCTCAAGTTGGAGCATGTAAGTCTCGAATGCCCAACTTGTAAAGTAGCTTGCGTAATTGATCTGCGCCCAATGCCTTAGTGAAGATGTCAGCCACTTGTACTTTCGTGTCAACAATGAGAGGTTTGATTTCCTGTGATTCAACACGCTCACGAACAAAGTAGCAGTCCATTTCAACGTGTTTGGTCCTTTCATGAAAAACAGGATTATTAGCAATATGTCGAGCCGTTTGATTGTCACATAAAAGAGGTGTAGCGCTAGTTTGAGGTGCCTGCAGAATTCCAAGTAACCAACAAACCCACAAAACTTCACTAACAGTTGTTGCCATAGCCCTATACTCCGCTTCAACGGAAGATCTCGAGACAACTATTTGTTTCTTTGTTTTCCAAGAGATGGGTGCTCCACCTAGGAGTAGAAAGTAACCTGAACGAGATCGTCGTGTAAAAGCACATCTAAGCCAATCTGAGTCACAATAGGCTATAAGATCAAGACCTCCTTCCTTTGGTATAAAAACTCCTTGACCCGGAGTGGTCTTTAGGTAACGTAGGATTCTGACTGCAGCATCCATGTGACATTGTCGAGGATCAGATACAAACTGACTAAACATGTTGACTGAATAAGCAATGTCTGGTCTGATAGCTTGGAGATAAAGCATTCTTCCAACAAGACGACGATATTGGCTAGCATTTACCTGGGACTGTCATGACCTTGATCCAACTGTAAATTTTGTTCCATCAGAAACAAGCTCGGACGACATCCCATTAAACCATTGTCTTCAAGAATATCAAGTGTGTACTTGCGTTGACTAAGCACAATACCATCAGGTGAACGTGCCACTTCTATTCCCAAGAAATATTTCAACGGACCCAAATCCTTAATGCTGAACTTTTGATCCAGAAAGGACTTTACTTCTTGTATCTTTGAGGCACTGTTACCGACAATAATGACATCATCAACGTAAATCAAGGCATCAACAAAAACATCATTATTGTTGAATATGAATAAAGAGGCATCAAAATCCCAATCCAGTAAGTGCCAAAGTGAACTTTTGGTACCAATTGCGAGATGCCTGACGAAGGCCATAAAGAGATTTTCGCAATCTACAAACTCGTGTTTCTTCTTTTCTTGAAAAACCATCTGGAATTTTCATATAAATTTCTTCTTTAAGGTCGCCATGCAAAAAGACATTATTCACATCGAGTTGATGTACAATCCAATCCTTCTTGGTTGCAACAACAAGGAGTGTTCTGACTGTTACCAATTTAGCAACAAGGGCAAAAGTGTCATGAAAATCGACCCGCTCCATTTATGTGAATCCTTTTGCAACCAATTTCGCCTTATATCTTTCGATTTCACCATCTGGTTTGTATTTTATTTTATACACCCACTTGGAATCGATGGCTTGTTTACCCTCAGGCAAGTTTTCAAGGGTCCAGGTACCATTGTTTTCGAGGGCTTTGATTTCATCTTTCATTGCAGTAACCCATTTTCCATCTTGCATAGCCTGCTTAAAATGTTTTGGCTCACTGTTTGAGCTAATTGCAGACAAGAAAGCCTTATGTTTATCAGAAAATTTGTCATAAGAAAGATAGTGGGTTAGGGAATGTACCGTCGAAGAAGCTTGATGGCTTGTGGGTCGTCCGTGGTCTATCGAAGGTGGTAGCTTGACGACAAAATCTTCAAAACGTTTCGGTGGTGCTTTATTCCTTTTCTCTCTTTGAACTTGTGTAGTTGTTTTTGTGTCTTGGGTCACAGGGTCGTTCACAGGGTATTCGAGTACAACTTGAGCATCTGTAGTCAACTCCTCATTAGTTTCTTCAATACTCTCCCTTGTTTCTTCAACTTCAATGCCATCATCGATATTTTTTGAGGTATGAAAGGCATCATCAGTGGTTGCATCTTTAATTTCCCAATCATTTTCCCTTATCTCTGCACAATCTTTTTTTTCTTTGTCTTTGGTCACCATAAAAGGGAACTCGTTTTCTACAAATTTTACATCCCTTGAGACAGTGATTTTGTGTATATCAATGTCATATATACAATATCCTTTCTGTCCTTGAGGGTATCCGATGAAGACCCCAGGCCTCCCCCTCCTTTAAACTTATCTCCCTTCGTTTCTATGTTTCTAGCATATACCAAACAACCAAAAATCCTCATGTGGTCATATGTTGGTTTTTGCTTAAAAAGAACCTCAAAAGGAGTTTTAAAGTTTATAACTTTGGAAGGAAGCCTATTTATGATGTAAGTGGCTGTTAAGATGCAATCTCCCCAAAATTTGATGGGTAAGTTAGCCTCAAATCTTAAGGCTCTAGCTATTTCAAGAAGGTGTCTGTGTTTTCGTTCAACGACACCATTTTGTTACGGGGTGTTTAAGCAAGAAGTCTCAAGAATGATACATTTGGAAGCATAAAAATCACTTATGAAGCCCGATGTGAATTCTCCTTCGTTGTTGCTCCTTATTCTTTTGACTTCTTTTACAAATTGAGTCTTGATCATATTGCACAAGTTGATCAGATGATTGCTTGCTTCTGATTTGTGTTTAAGCAAAAACACCCAAACAGCTCTACTAAAATCATCAACCACAGTCAAAAAATACCATGCCCCTGTGAGCGAAGGAGTTTGATAATTTCCCCAAATATCACAATGAAGTAAATCAAAACATTCAATCGTTTTAATAGAACTTTTAGGAAAAGGAAGTCTGGTATGTTTTGCTTTTACACACAAATCGCAAACACTATTATTTGACATCTGAAGTGTGACCAAGTATTTTGTACCAAACTTCAATATCTGGTGCAACCATCATTGCCATTTTCTTTTCTGCCACCGAATCCATTCGATAGAGACCACCCTTGCACTTAACCATGCCAATCAAGTTCTTCTCGAGTAAACCCTGTATAAGACAAAAATCAGGGTAAAAAGTTACTGCACAGTTCAAATCTGTGGTTATTCGACTGATAGAGAGTAAGTTGCATTTAAAATCAGGGATGAATAACACATTCCCAATTCTAATTCCATTTAGCAAGTTGCAATTCCCTTTTCCTTCAACTGGAATGGAATCTCCATTTGGTATGGTGACATGTACCTCATGATTGCAATCTACCCTTTTTTCAAGTAGATTCAAATCACAAGTCATGTGTTCCATAGCACTTGTATCAACAATCCATGAATTGTTGCCAACATCCTTACCAGCCATGTTACCGACAGGTCCTACACCTTCTTGGTTAGTGTTCTTGAAGTGCTTGAGTAGCTCCTGATATTGTTCGTTCTTCATGATGGGTACTTGTGTGGTTTCAGTGTTGGAAAACACAGCTTTCGGTTGATCTTTTTCTTTCTTTCCTTTTTCGGGCCACCACTCGGGATAGCCAATTCGCTTGAAGCAACCATCTTTATTATGTCCCATTCTACCACAGAAGATACAATTTTCAACTTCATCATTGCCGTTGCGTCTTGCCTCCTTCGTACCACCTTTATTACGCTGTGGTGTTGAGTCATTGGTTCTTTCCCTTCTGTTCTGAGCAAAGCTTTGAAAGGCAGGAGCCTCATGTATGGGTCTTCTTGTGGCTGCTATAGCTCTTTGTTGTTCATCTTCTGCGACTAGATGATAAGCAGTGCCAAGCGTAGGAGTTGGTTTCGAGGCCGGAATCTGAGTCTTAATCGTTGCAAACTCATTATCAAGTCCCATAAAAAATTCGTAGAGCCTCTCCTTTTCTTTTGCTTCGTTCAGTCTTTTTCCAGCATCACATTTACACCTTAGCAGGTGCAATAAGGTGTTGGTGACACAGTTTGTATTTCGTCCCACAGTCCTCGCATCTTGGTGTAATAGGCTGAAACAGATGCACCATTCTGAGCCGTGGTGGTCAAGGTCTGTTTTAGTTCATATGCTCGAGGAGCACTTTTCTTGCCAAATCTTTCTTCAAGATCGGCCCATATCTCCGCAGCGGTGTTGGCGTGTTTGACGCTTGATCTGATATCCTTCTCCATGGCTGTAGTCAACCATCCCTTTATCATAGCATCACATCTTATCCATAACATATATTGTGCCGATTCCTCTTCTGGCCTTTTAATTGAACCATTAACGAAACTGATTTTGTTCTTTGCAAACAAAAAATTCTTCATCTCTTGAACCCAATCTCCATAGTTGCTGTCAGAGAGAACATCGTTTATCTGCATCTGCCTTGGATAATCAGAGCAGTGAAGATAATATGGAGAATTGGGATCGATGGCGTTTCCATCGTTTTTCGGTGGCGGCGTCGCGTTATCTTTGGCCATGGCGTCGTTGATGTTTGAGATGGATTAATCAATCCTTGCTCTGATACCATAAAAACTTTTATGGATCGAAAACTTAAATTTCATTAAACGAGCTTGGTCCTTTAAATAGGAGTAACGATCCTAAATCAAATACGGAAAACTCTCAAAGATGGAAACATAAAAAATAGGAGAAATAAAAGGTAAATAAGACAAGGATATCAGCAAAATCCTTTAATATATATATATATATATATATATA